TCAAAATTCGCATTTTCTAGCTGCAATTTTAAGCCAGCATCTGATATTCTATTTAATAATTTTCTTACTTTTATTTCATGTTCTTCTAAAGTTTTGGCACATATTATAATGACATCTAAAAACATAAATAGTTCTGCGCCTTGCAATCCCAATAATACAGAATCAATGAGTCTTTGGAACGTAGCCAGTGCATAGCATAATCCAAACGGCATACCTGTACACTCGTAATGCCTGTAGGGAGTACTGAAAGCTGATTTATGGTGATCTTCTGGAAATACTTCGATTTGATGGAATCCATTAGCTAGGTCGAATGCTGAAAAAAATTTTGACCCGCCAATTTGCTCTAATATCTCTGTAATATTAGGCAATGGGTAAGCATCAGGGATAGTTTTAGCGTTTACTTTTCTATAATCTATTATGAGACGATGTCTCTTTTCTCCGTTGGGTCCTGGATTTTTGGGAACAATCTACAGCGGACTATTGTACGGGCTAGAAGAATAGCTAGTGGTTCCTTCTTGTAGTAATTTATCGATCTGATCACTAACTTTCTTGTGTAGAGCAGAAGGATACCTATATTCCTTAGTAAAAACAGGTTTATCATCAGTTGTCAGTATATTATATTGTACATACGGTGTACGTGGAGCAGAATCACCTTCGATATAAAATAGATGTAAATACTGTTATACTATATGGCAAAAATGTTTATACTTTGTCTTATTGTATAATGATGTCGGCAAAGTTTTTCCGTAATATATTTAATTTTTTCCTGTGTTGTATTGTTGGGAACATCATAGCTAAAATCTGAGTCGAGGAAATTTTCTTAATCATCTAGAACAAAAGGTACGAGATTTTGTGGAGAAATCTCGATTTCTACTGACTCTTCTCTAGTATTTAGAGCCATCGTGAAACAGCGGCCTTTATCGTGTGTTACTGCTGCTTCGCCTATGAATATACCAGGAGTAGTTCTTATCAAGCACAAGTATGCTTGCCCGTAGCTGTTAGTTTGCGTTACAGAAATCTCTGTGGGAATTCTCATTCTGGCTGGTTTTTACATACACGATTTTGACCAATGGTTACTTCTATAGGTTTAAAATGTTGAGAAGTAGGAAGAGATTCCGAGTTTTCTTCATTTATGCTAATATAATCTATAATTTCGTGAAAATTATTTTCATTACTTATATATCCTGTCGTTGTATTAAGCAACTTAAGTCCACGTTCTTTGTCACTTATTGTTACAATTCTTTATATAAATGGAATGGGACTTATAGGTCTTCTTTTTAGTATTAAAGCTCTTGTGTCATAACAAAGCCTGGCCCGTTCTTCGGCTAGAAATAAATTTTCTAATATTCCTGTCTCACTAGGGAGCGTTTCTTGTGCTAAGACGTAAAAAACGTGATTTTTATTAAATATATTAAACGTTACTGTTCCCAATGTTATGATACTTTGAGAAGTTAATCCAATAAGAGCATTTTTTATATTGGTATTCACAATATAATTTTGTAGCAATGAAGATATTTTTATAGCATTAACGTCAGCTCCTGTATCTATTATAAAAGTGTCTTTACTTTCATTTCATTGTAAAATTTTAAGTCCTACTGTCAGTGCATTGCCAATGTTTCTTGCGACTGACACTCGGGCGATTGCACAAATTGGTTTGTCAGTAGACGCTGATTCAGATCTTTGCTTGCCGCTGCGTCTGGGAGACGAGCACCGTTCCTGTTTAAAGAATGGCCTGGTATACGGAAACTGGGTCTAAAATTTTGCTGATTATTGAAAGAGTTCGACCTTGAGCAAAAAATTGTTTAGATTCACGATTCATGCGGTATTTGAACGTTTTTGCAAGTGCAGGGGTAATTTCCCATTGAAGAAGTAGATTAATTACCAAATACACACTGCAGTAAGCTTGTGTGAAACGGGCAATTCAAATAAGCTAATAATTGGTTTTGGTGTTGTGTTAATTGTGTGGGGCCAAAATTTCTATGATTCTTTCTCGAATCGTTCAAAGGCTGGTAAGATTGCGTTTCATTCGATTTTTGCAACAATTTTACTGATTGATTATTTAAGTCACTATTTCGATGTTAAAGAGCTGGGTGAAATACTATTTTTCCATCTGAATTAAACGTTGTCGGGAAAATTTTTGTGTCATTAGGGTTGTAATAATAAAATGTATTATCGCGATTGTACATGTTGGATTAGTTATAGTCATTTTGTTGTACGTTGTTTTGATTTGGCTGAAATTATCCAAAATTGTATGGTCTGCTTTATCGGTTTACTGATTAATTTTGTCTTGCTGTAGGGTGTAACTGCTGAGCAAGGTACATATGTAAATTCTGATGGTAAATGGTCGCTTGAGTATTGGGGTATAACATTTTTCCAACTTCTTCTGCTTTAAAAGCTACTTGTAGAGCACTGGCAAAACTTTTTGGTACGTTTGACATCATATTGGTCTTGAATCCATTGGGTAGGCCTTGCATGAATGCTTCACAGCCAACCATTTTCAGATATAACTTGGAATCAGGTGGTTGGTTTTCAGGAATGTTGTTGGCAACGGCCTCTATTCTGGCTGTTCTAGCACCTTGATTAATGAGTGGGGAAATTCTCTCGTAAAAATCGCGAATAGTTTCTCCCTGTTTCGTTTGAAAATTAACAATTTTGGTCATGTATTGAGCGTAAGTTTTAGAAGGAGCAAAATGTGCCTTTAAACGATTTATAAGATTGTCTAATATATTTATTGTTCATCCATCTAGACAACTTCTTGCTCTACTCTTTAGCCTGAAAATGACTGCTCTTAAAAACATAGACTATTCCTCATTTAAGATAAGGAACCTACCATCATCAACATCTTACAAGAAATCTCTGATAGGTGTATTTTTACCACTATATATTGGTATGTGTAAGGCAGCTTCACTTATACGTAAAGCTGTATAATTTAGGGGTACGTTACGTGATAATTCAAGAAATTCTAGTGATTTTTCAGCTTCCCTTGCCCTATGGTATTGCTCAAGTAACTGTACCCTTGCAGCTACATCTGCTCCCTTGATTATATCCTCAAGTGTCTTATCCATTTCATAAAAAAAAATTTTGAAAGTAGATAAAGAAAGACAATAAAAACATTTAGAAAAAAAAATGAAAATAAAAGTTTTAATTTGGTCAAAGCATACTCTAAGTGAAACGAAAGGCTTAGTTCCCCACAAGAAATGCCAATTTTTATGTCCGAACTTCTTTAAGTGAAGGGCGGAGCTCGTAAATTGGTTCTACAAACAAATAAATTAAATTTTTGTTTGTCAGAAACCAGCCATCGGTCTAAAGGCTTTATTTGATTTTACTTACAGTATACTTTTCTTTAAAATCGTTGACTCGGCGTTGTGGGGTTAAGTTTCACCGAGTGATATGTATGGAGTAGTGTACGCTGAGCTAGCGTTGACTTACTGTTAGAGTTTTTGTCTTATGTCAAAAGGTAGTAGCGTATCTTATTCGTCTTTTTATCTCGCGTCCGTGCAAAGGTCTTTGTCATACAGTGTCTATTTTACTTTTCCTCGATATTCAATTTATTCATTAAGGTAAGAATTATGTGTCAATCAATTAGGATTAAGAGATATTGGAATGTTTTATGTAATTCATTAATTAGAATGCTTTCGAATTAAGAAAATTAATTTAATCAACAACCAAGTTATCTCTTAACTGATGATTTAATAAATTTAGAAAAACCAGAAATAGTTAATTTTACAAATAGTATAATAAAGTTTCGTATTCACATTTATAATGTTAAATAATTTATAGTTTTCTTAACTTAACTTACTTCTATGATCGTTGGTTAGCCGCTGCTTGAGCGGACGCAGTCACAAGATCTTACAAGGTTGACCGCAACAATGTTCCTAATCCAACACGAAAGCACTCGTGGCGATGACAATAATTAGGCTTCTGCTATTAACGAAAGAACCCAAGTCAACGGTCATTTCTTTCTTGTACCTCCTTGATTCACTTTTTAGGTGAGTTTACAGTGGTTTAGTTTTCTCGAGCTTTTCTTACACAGCTTAGTCACCAAACAAAGTCTTACATTTGCTTGAAATGCACGCTTTTAACACGTAGCTTAATGATCGAACTAAGTCTTACATCCACTTAAAAGACGCAACAGAACTCACTCTCTAACCTTTATAGTTACTTTGGAGCACTTGATGAAAGAGAAAAGGCGAATATTGTTATATACGAGGAGTTTTTATACTTCTGCGTTTAAGGAGGACGCGTTAAGTCGGGGATTCGAACGACCAATCAGAGCTTAACCTAATTACCCTCGGCTGACTTAATCACAGTCATGGTGCAATAATTTCACATTAATTAATGGTTAAATCTGCTGATCTCTCAGATTTTACATTAAGCACATGTTACTGTTGAAATTGTGTATGATATTTCTTGTGTACATCCGCAGTAAATAATGTTAAAATTGTTGATGAATCACATTATTTGGTATACTTGTGCGAATTGATTTTGTAAGATAAGCGTTTTATAAGATTGTTTTAGGCTGCACACGTAATTCAAGTTTTGCAACGGTAGCTTATTTTGAAAGAAGTAAGTTATATGTCACGCGATTGCAGAAGTGAATGTACTGCTCGATGGTTCGAGATAGCTGAGCTTTTACTTTTTATAATTTAAAAACAAATTCTGTGCTTCGAAGTTATAAATGTTAAGTATGTGACATCCCACGTAACATTCGTAACATTTTTTGATCAGGTTGAGTGCAGGAAGTGCTAACAGTAAAAAGTAGTTGTCACTCAAGAAATTGGCTGAAGGAATCTCTTCAAGCAGAAAAACTATAGAGGCTTTTTTTGCCTGCATACTAAATTTATGAAATATTTTTTCTCAGAAAGGTCTTAAAATGTCATTCAGGATGAAAGTTAAATACATTGAGACAGAATGATAACTTTAGAAGTTTTTTAACTTAACCAAAGGAGTAATAGTAATTTGTCTTTATTCGATATTATTAAGCAGATATCACACTTTACCAGAAAAATGGCCATTGATAAACATTTGGGCAGTCGAAACACCAAATCCATGTGTCCTTGATAAGAATCTCCTTTCCTGTGGAAAACAAATAATTTAATTTTTACCGTTGAGAGGTTTAATGTGTATTTCAAGAAACATACATTAAAATCTACAACGTACGTAATTTTTACGTGCACATAAGGTCCTATTAATAAATTCATCATACAAACATCATGTGGTACACAAACATTTTTTCAAAATTTGTATTATTCATTACACAGTGGCTGGGAGTTACAGCAGCAGTGGAAGAAGGAAGGGAATATTCCTAATCATTCGTTATTGCGTAGGTAAAGAGTTGCTTAGAGGCGTTTATCGCAGCCTGATTCCGTAATATACTCACTTGATTGTATTAAAAATACTGCTCTGTAGTACTATGTAGAAAAATATATCTAATATAGATGAAAAGTTTCTGCAACCAATTTACTTACCGTGTTAGGTTTAAACACATTCCCTCAATTTCTGTTCACAACGTTTGTATTAAAAATACTGCTTTGCAGTACTTTGTAGAAAAATTGATTTAATACAGATAAAAAATTCCTAGAACTAACATACAAGCCCATGTCCTCTAACGTTAGTGAATAGTGTCAAGTGTTTTAAATACATCACTGAAAGTCTTTTATTCCAGTGTATGTTAGCTTGATAATAACACGAACTTCATCGAACACACCATGTGGGTTACGCTAGGTTTTCGCGCACGACTTTCAACATCGGGATGAACTTTACGTTAACTATCGCAAACACTCGCGTGGCTCTCAGTTGCCAGTAGGAAAGTGGGTAAGGGTGCTGCTCTTTGTTCATCACTATTAACTTAGAAGTAATATTCTACTATACATCCTAAGCACCTAGCAGATTTGTACAAGGCTAGAGGCCAAAGTTCGTCCCAACGAAGTTCTGCAGATTTTCCGCGCATGGTAACGGTGTGGACTTATAACAGCCTGGCGCTAGTAATGCCTCAAACCTCTGACGTTAATTAAGTTAGCTTGTTTTTATTAGCAACTCGTATGTTGAGGATCTGTCAATGCAACGTCGTTTTGAAAAATACCTTACCTTAGGACAGGGAGCATGACAAGGACGGCCTCTAGTTTCTTAACAGATTACGACCATTGCAGTCGTGTGAGTGCGCTTTGCGTCTTTATGTATATTTTTATCAACAGCATATATAATTTGAAATTTAGTGCATCAAATATGTGCGTGTGTACAATAGCAAGTTATTTGCAGCAGGAAAGGAGAGAAGTAGCTGGACGTACAAGATAGCCACGTGAGATAGTTTCCCCACGCATACTCGTCACACACTTGCATTTTTTCTTAAACATAATCTTAGTATATAATTGTATAACAAGTCACATCAAAGATAAGTTTACTGACCGTACGTTTTAGTAGAACCTGTGGCTCATCGTATTGCGATGTGCTACATTAATAAGCCCATATTAGGAGTGCATCATTGACTAAGAAAAAAAGTCTTCCCCAAGCCACAAAAAATTTCAAGTAATGTTAAGGTCTACAAAAATTTCTAATCCAAATATATATTATTCAGAACTATGTTACTTTTTAATCAGTTGTTTAATATAAAACCACAGCAGAATTTAAAAAATACCATGTCAGAATTATTAAAAATTTTAATGACCCGGTAAAGGCAGTTAAAAAAAAAAAATTTCAAATTGCAGCGTCAAGAAGTTAATGAAATGCTATTAATCTACGTATTAAGTTTGAGTAACAGAATGAATTTATACACATGTATATATGATATGACCAACACGATGGCTTAGTGGTAGAGTTACAGTTCCATCGATCCCTAAGGTTAAGCAGCATTTGGTGCGGTAAGTACTTGGATGGGTGACCGCTTAAGTCTTGCCGTTTCGCCTCTGCTATTTGCTTTGTGGATTGATTGCCTGTTTCTCTGTTTCTTCGACATCGTGCGTCAGAGGTGTGCCAAATCCTTGCCCTGTTGTCTAAGTCTGCAGCTTAAACATCAAGTCAGAAATGAGACAGATACACCGGGCTATTCTGGATCAGGTTTTTCCTACGGGAGAGTTCCCGGGGTTTTCCTCATCCACATGACAAACTTCATGGGCGAATGCAGAGCAATTGTTAGGGCCCTCCCTCCTTCTAACCCTCTCCTAATTCCTTCCTAATTCCAAGTGCTAAATGCTCTAAGTAGTGCCTCTACAAGAGAGCCGGACGTCAAGCACTATAATAAAAAAGTATACATATATTTATGATTCAAAAAGCCTTATTAAACATGTATTCCGGTGATCGTGCTGAAAAAGAAAAACTACACTTGTAGGATAATTTTCATCCCAATAAAAAATTTCGTATACAAGACTTTATAGTTAAACATTCCTCTTTTACCAGAGCCTATTACTATCTCATCTTTAATTACATCATCATAACAATTTTTTTTAGGCGTCTTACCAAGATGAATGTATAAATCTTTTATCTGTGCTTGCTTAATTGTTCTAAAGTAAATAAATTTTCTTACTGATACTAAAAGTAAGTGCTAAACTTATAAAAGAGATTTTAGATCTTAGGAGCTTTAATTATTCCATCTAATTCACAGCAGCGAAAAAAGTGGATAGATTTCTACTTTTCTTAGATATTTTTATAAATACGGTCCCTCAATATAAGTACACAGTACATCTGTATCGTAAACCTTTTTTCTTATGGAAAATTTTAAATTTTTTCTTACTTAATTTGACATCTGTAATAAGAGCTCTAATTTTTAATTATTTGACAAAGCCTTTCAGTTTGCTAAGTCATGTTCTTAAAAAACCAAAAATATTCAAAAAGCTACAAAGATCTTGGATTCAAACACGTTTCCTCAAGTTTTTGTTGATAAATTTAAGAAATTAGGATAGCTATAGTACAGACAAGTATGTTACATGGGATGTCCGCTTGTTTTGAAAGTAGGGATTACCATTATAATTCTCGTGCATGTGATCCACGTAAAATTTTCTTTAGACTTCGATTCATAGTTTTTCTTACATTTCCAACCGTTGTAACATAATTTTTTTTTAAATTTTCACTGAATTTAAAATAGCTGTGGTATTTCACAATTCTCGTACATTTACAAATTTAAAAAAACACATTACGTTTTTTTTAAATCACAACACCAAGTCAGCTGCATCACGGCATTCACACGGCTTAGGGCATAACTTTGACTTTGATGGGGTAGGGCTTTTCACACTACCCCTTCAAGACCCTCCCTCCACCCCCCC